TCTCTTTCGAATCTCACCCTTCCACGGTGGCAATCCAGATGCGCCTTGTACTTACTAAGCCAATCCATCCCAAGGATGACATCATAAGACTTAACATTGCAAATTACCAAATCTGCTGGCATACTAACTTCGCCTATCCAGACAGAAATGTTTTTAACCATCCCTAGTGAGAACATCACTTGGCCTCCAGCCGCCCTCACTAAACCGATTCCTTCTGGAATTATCCCTTTCCAATCATCTCTGGATTCACAAAACAATCACTTGCTCCGGAGTCAAACATAACATGGGTCTCTACCTCACCCATTAATAAGGTCCATACACATTCAACCACTAGAATGCTAAGACACTTAACAGAACACGTAGACACAGACAACAAGCAACAGACATAACTCAGACTGTAAGTACTAAAACTCACCAGTGATCGGTTGAGAAGCGCTCGGATCTCCACTCCCGTCCACGGTCGCTGCGTGCACTCTTGGCCTGCCTCTTGGCCGCCGGTGCCAATGCATCTCCTGCACGCTTAGCCTGAGAAGCCGCTTGCCCAGCTGCTCCTGACCTCGGACAATCACGCTTGTAGTGTCCTGGTTCTCCACAACCGTAACACACAACAGAAACGCTGTCTCCATCTGACACTCTCAACATCCTTGTGTCTGGCTCAAGACAATCCCGCACTTGATGCTCCCAACTTTCACAACAGAGACAAGCCCCAGTTGAACGCCTACAAACGCCTATATGCACCTTCCCGCATGATCCACACACGCTGCGGTTCCCACTTGACTTGGCTGGAACATTCCTCCCAAACCTGCGGTTCTGTCCTCCAGATGATTGACCACTCTTGGCCACGACAACCACAGTACTCGCCTTTGACAAAGTTTCCTCTGCTTGTCCAGATTCCAACAATGCCGCATTCTCCACAAGCTCTGTGACCGTCGCATAGTCACGCACCAGACAACCGTTCCTCAGCTCAACCCTTGGCCCACTCATGAACCTTCGGATCAGCTTATCCTCAGTGTCGTAGTCACGTCCCACATACTTACGTAACTGGTTGAACTCTGTCTCATACTGCCGAACCGTCTTGGTTCCTCGACGCAGATACAGAAACTCAGCCTCCAACTGATTGTAAGCTTCCTGCAGAAAGTACTTACTCTGAAACATCGCAGAAAACGTCTCATACGAACAGTTCGGATTCACCAAACGCACGGTGATTCCCTTCCACCAGATGTGTGCAGTACCCTCCAAGTAATGCACAGCTATGTCCTTCTTGTAACCCTCAGGACAGCGGATAGACTCGAAGTTCCGCTCCAGTCTCATCCTCCACTCATCAGCCTCAATACGTGCAGAACCTCCAGCAAAGAACTTGGTTCCTAGCCTCCCCATATGATCCAGAACCTTGAGGTAAGACGGAATCACCACACCCTGATCCGCTTCCCCAACTTCTTCGACAACTGCCAGTTCCACCACTTGTGGTGCCACTGCCGGTGCCACTACTGGCGCAGGTGCAATCACTGGTAAACGCTCCAACACTTGAGCCAACAGCCCCAAAACAGCCTCCAACCCAACTGGTTTCGCTCCCGCAGCATTTCCTGCCACGTTTCCAGCATTGGCCGCAGCCACATTAGCAGCAGCCGCCACATTCGCAGCATTTGCAGCTGCATTCACTTGCTGGTCCACGACCACATTTCCAGTTCCAGAACTCTCAGTGTTCTCAGCACCATTCACTTGTGCTCTTGCAGTTCTCTTTCTCAGAGCCATCTGCCAAACAGAAAAACCGGTTAGCCCGAAGCTAACCCCAGACAAGAGTTTCAGACTCTACAGAACAACAGAATGCGAGACCTGGCAGTGAGGTGGATAGACTCTAATCCCAACTATGCAAATGAACTGTCCTAGAATCGACCATGCTCTGATACCAACTTGTTAGGACCCAACCGTCTATCACTAGACCGGCCCGAACCTCACCGAGTCTTTTCTCGACCAGAATACAAAAACATGCATATTTTAAAACTTTTCTTAAACTTAAACAAGTTCGATTCATCAAAAGACATTCATTCTCATTGCATAATTATTCCATAAACACTTAACAAAATTTGGATTCAATAATAGAAAACTAAACTTATCAGATCCAGTTTAACTCAGAAATGCTAACATCAAAGCCATAAAACAGAAAGTTCAGAACATGAATCCCAAAATCCGGTCCTAATCCACCCATTCTCTTCACTGCCTTCCAGTCCGCCTTCAGAGCTACTCGCCCTGGACCTTATCTTTACCTGCACACTCAAAAAGAGAGGCATAAGTATTTGATAAATACTTAGTGAATACGGTCATCCCGTAACACCTTAGCCAATACCAGAAAACGCACCATACTATCAATTATACAATTTACATTAACACTTAGCAAGCAAGCACATAAAACAGTACGGTCGTATGATCATCTCAACTACTTGTGAAGCCTCACATAGCATCGGTTCTACTCCAAGCGAGAATCACATACCCCCTTGAGCAGTAACTCGATCCGGACATTCACACAGCTAGTTAGACACCATGTATTGACCACGGTTCACACTTAGCCATTCACAATCATAGAAACATTGACCTTGCTAAGCAGAAACCACTAACTTACACAAGCAATCAATGAAAATCAGATAACCTTGCAATCAAACGATTCTAGATACAGACCACAGTCACGCACTCACCTTAGATACAGAAACAAAGGTTTCAGTCGAATGAATCTTGATGATTTCTCGATCAGAAACAGAGATAGTCGGACACACTTGCGATTTCTCGGCTATCGCTCAGACTGGTCCGGCAAAATCTCAACACTTCTCGGCTATCTCTCAACCTGTGCACTTTTACTCGTGCAAGAGCCTGTATTCCCTCAGAAACAGTATAAAACAGAACTATTAGTCTGACGTTACCCGACGATAACTCGACACTAATCAGAATATCTGAACACTTACCAGATTCTCTCGGACGAATCAAAGTGCTCTCGGATATCTCACGATCTGCTCAGAACTCCACGGATGAACTCGGTTATTCCCTCGAAAAACCCTCAAATCAGAACGAATGGTCGGATCAGATTAACAGAAACTCGGACAGGTCACTCGATCTCTCGGTGATAGTCGGAATCGCCGACAAAACATCGATCTCTCTCGGCTAACTCTCGGGATAATCAGAAACTATGGGATTTCTCTCGACCAATCTCTCTCTCTCACGCGTTATTTCTCTCAAATAATGCGGCTCTCTCGAGAAAAAGTCTCAAAATCCCTTTTATATGCTCGCAAAACCTAGTTAACCCGGTTATAGCCGGCGTCTCTCAGTTCCAGTCAGGTTTATTCTGGTTAGCTTTAAGTTCTCTCGGCTATCGCCTAAACCGCTCGACCATCCACGCGAGAAACTAGTTTTTATCCGACCAAACTCTCAGCCCACGGGCCCAGCCCATTTTTACTCGGTTAAAATCCTTTCTCTCGGACATAGTCCACTTTATCTCAGATATAGTCCACTTTCTCTCGGACATAGTCCATCCTGCTCGGCCATCTGTAGACTATTTCCCAGTCATCCCTCGACTATAGTCTGAACCTCCCATCCATACGGATTTTTCCCTTGACTGAACTCATATTCCTTCGGACAACCTCCTGTCCGGCTCGATCATTCCAGATTTTCTCGAATACGGATGCTACACCCTCTCTCTCCTTACCTCTTTGTTATAGCTATGAACTTACTTTCTCTAATGCTAAATAAAGTAGCTAAGGAGGATGGGTATACCTATCATCAAAATTGTGCTGCTTCTAAGCTCACTCATCTCTGTTTTGCTGATGATCTCCTGATCTTCTTGGAGGGCTCCATGTCCTCTGTCCAGAAGATACTCCAGGTTCTACATGAGTTTGAGCTCCGGTCAGGTCTTGCTGTGAGTGTCCAAAAATCAAGCTTCTTTGCTTCGGGTCTTTCACAGACGGAGTGTAACCTCATAAAATTCTCCACTGGTATGCCTCAAGGTATACTCCCTGTTCGATATCTTGACGTTCCTTTATGCACAAAGAAGCTAACTCTCATCAACTGTGAGCCTCTAATTCAACAAGTAAAGAATCGGATTACCTCTTGAGGCGCTAAATCGTTATCTTTTGCTGGAAGACTTCTCCTTATTAAGAGAGTGGTAGCTGGCATCTCCAATTTCTGGTGTTCTTCATTCGTTCTCCCCAAGGCTGTAATTAAAAGAATAAATTCCATGTGTAGCATGTTCCTGTGGAAAGGAGATATCGAGGGGCATCATTCTGCGAGAGTTTGTTGGGAAACAGTGACAAAACCAAAAAATCAAGGAGGATTGGGTATAAGAGATCTTACAACTTGGAACCGTGCGTGTTGTCTCAAATTGATTTGGCTCATCTTTTTCCAAGATGGTTCGGTTTGGGTGGTTTGGTATAGGCAGGAGGTGCTAAAAGGATCTGTAAACAATTTATGGACAGTGAAGCCACATAAGAACCATTCTTGGCTCGCCAACAAGCTGCTGAAGGTTAGGGATGATGTTTACCCATGGATAAAACTAAGGGTCGGTAATGGGCGAAATAGTTGCTTCTGGTCAGATAACTGGTCCCTGTTTGGCAGGTTAGAAAGATACCTTCCGGGTAACCGGAACTACCGATTGGGTATTCATGAAAAAGCTCCACTTTATTCTCTCTCTGTGAACGGTCATTGGATTCTGCCTCTTGCAAGATCCGAGAATCAGGTTAATCTTCAAGCTTATCTCAGTACTACTGTTTTAACAGATGATGAAGACTACTATGAGTGGAAAATTGATGAAAAAGTAAGTTCTAAGTATAGAACATGGCAAGTTTATGCTAAGTTAAGACCAGAATCAGATGAAGTACCTTGGGAAAAAATAGTCTAGAATGTTGGAGGAATTCCGAAACATAATTTCCTCACTTAGTTGTTCATCTTGAATCGATGTCCGACTAAGGATCGAATCATATCTTGCGGACTCAACACAAATCCAGTTTGTCTCCTATGTAATGCGGCTTGTGAAAGCAGGGATCACTTGTTATTTAATTGTACTTAAATTGGTCAATTTGGGAGGTTGTAGCGAAAAGATGTAATCTCACTGCCGCTCGATCTTGGACCCATTCGATCTTGCAACTGCAGTCTTTGATGATGGGGAAGCTGTCGAAGAGGCTGATAAGCTTGGGTTGGCAAGCTTTAATTTTCTGGATTTGGAATGAGCGGAGTGGGCGTTTACATCATCAAAACTTTCGCTCTTCAGATGCAATTATCAAGCAAATTGATCGACAGATCAGGAATAGAACAACAAGTTACAGGGATCGTAATCCAACTATGTCGTCTAAGCTTCTACAACTTTGGCTCTCAACGGAAGCACATGCGATGATTAGATAATCTCTCATCTCTTTGATTGACGACTTCTCGTTTCTCTGGTTCTATTGACGACAAGCTCTTTAACAATGAGCTTGGACTACTTCTTTGGTCAAAATAAGATCTTTAGAATTGTTTCTTGGATGATATATTGGAACTTCTCTGTAAAACACTAGCTTTTGAACTTGTAATATTTTTATTTATATGTATTTAATATGAAAGCCTTTTGTATATAAAAAGAAAAAATATGTAATTGTGATATTTTCAGTTTTATAGTGAGAGAGGCGTTGCTAAAATAAGGACATGTAACAAACCCGAAATGTATCAAGGTAACCAAAATATTCAGAGCATGTGTTAAAAGGTAACCAAGTTATTCATTGGAGAGAAGACTATGAATACGTAATGCTTTGGTGATATAAGCATGGGGACACCTAACCTAGAAGATGAGCTTGTAGCCGTTGGACAACAAGATCAAGACCAGAAGGAGGTTGAAGAAGTTCTTAAGATACAAGGAGGCCCAATGACCCGAGCTAGGACTAAGGCATTTCAAAATGCCTTAGAGGTTCTACTTAATCAGTTTAAGTATGAATCAAGTACAAATGAGGCTACACGTTCCACACTGGTCTGCATTGTAGCCGAGGACTAAGCTAGTGGGTTTGTGGGATACTTTGTGCTCTTTTTCCCTTAGTGAGTTTTGTCCCATTGGGTTTTTTCACTAAGGTTTTTAACGAGGCAAGTATTCCCACAATGTCATTGCCCATTTAGCTTGGCCTTGTTCCAAGCCCACTTCTTCCTACCATCCGTGGCTTGGATGTGTCTAGGTTCTTTTCCTTGTTTTTAGTTGTGTCTTTCTTGTAGTTTGTGATATTTTGAACAAGAGTCATGCATGGTTAGTCAAGGGGGTTTGTCCCAAGACCAACTTATTGCTCTCTTGTTGACCGTTCTTCTTCCTCTCTCTCTTCTCCTCTTAAAACCGTGAGTTAGTTGTTTGTGTGGTTTCATCTATCTTTTGAATAAAATCTCTTTTGCAAAATAGATCATCTCTCTTGGTGCGTCATATCCTTGAGAAATTCTTTAGAACCTAGGTGCGTCATATCCTTGTGTTCTAGTAGTTTTGTATCAAGAGCTTTCCCTCTCTCTTGCTACATTCCATCTTCACTCTTTCCCCACTTTTCCCCTTCACTGAAACAACCCTCTTTCCACCATTCGGATCATTCCACCATTCACCACGAATTCTTCCTCACTTAGCTTGAAAGGAACGATCATTGACCGGGATCATATCAAGTGGTATCAGAGCAACCCTTCCAAAGCTAAGTTTTCTGATCCAGTCCGCCCTTGTTCATCATTTCAATTTTTTTTTTTTACTCTTCATCTTCTGTCAAAAATATTTTTAAAATTATTGTTCATCACGGTTTTGATCTCTTGTTTAGCCACAAATTTTTTAAAAATAATTTGGAATTTTTATAAAATTCTAATTTACCCAAGAACTACTTACTGCGAGAAATTTTGTTTTCAGGAGCAATGGCCGGGGAAGATGACCCGGAACCTTTAGCTGTACGTGCTCAGAGGATGTTGGTCGAAGCCCTCACGGCTGAGATGAAAAAAATGTTAAAAGTTGAGGTAGATAAGATCAGGCAAAGCTATGAACAGAGAGATACAGAACAGAGACGCCAAGGCAAAGAAATCGTGAGAGAAGATGAACAAGAAGGGCAGGCTAGTGGACATCAGACTGATCAATACTACAAAAGCAGTAACTCCTCTAAAAGTGGCCATAGAAGTTCTAGACAAGGCAGAGATCGTGTGCAAGACAACTTGGCTGGTCTCAAGTTGAAGATTCCCTCCTTTCACGGCAAGTGTGATCCGGATGCCTACCTTGAGTGGAAAAAGAAGATAGAGCTGGTATTCAATGTTCAACATTACACTGAGGAGAACCGTGTTAAGGTGGCGGCCACAGAGTTCTACGACTATGCCCTAAGCTGGTGGGATCAACTCGTCACGACTAGAAGGAGAAACCAGGAGTATCCGGTTACAACTTCGAACGAGATGAGAAAATTGATGTGGAAACGGTTTGTTCCGAGCCATTACCATCGCGAGCTACATCAGAGGCTTCGGAGATTGATGCAAGGCAACCGTTCTGTGGAGGAATATTTTCAGGAAATGGAAACACTAATGCTTCGTGCAGCTATCTTGGAGGACAGTGAAGCTACGATGGCTAGGTTCCTCGGAGGCCTTAACCAAGAGATTCAGGACCGCCTGAAGACTCAGCATTATATCGACTTAGAGGAGATGCTTCACAAAGCAATGTTGTTTGAGCAGCAAGTCAAGAGAAAAGGGTCGTACCGTTCGAGTTCTAGTACCGGACCAAACAGTCAGACAGTTTATCCGCGGGACGATAGAAACTCGTACCGGTCAGCATATCCACAGAATCAGCCGAGAGAAGATAAGTCGATCAGTTCCAAATCCGAAATTGTCCAACCATATGGGAAACCTAAGGAGGCTAACACCAAGGCTCGTGATGTAAAGTGTTTCAAATGCCAAGGCCGAGGACATTACGCCAATGAGTGCATCAACAAACGTGTTATGGTGTTACTAGAAAACGGTGACATAGAATCAGAGGATGAGCAACAAGAAGAAACAGAGGAGGAACATGAGTTATTGCCAGTACAAGGAGAGTTGCTTGTAGCAAGAAGGACATTAACCGTGCAAAGCAAACCAGAAGAAGAAGATCAGTGTGATAATCTGTTTCATACTCGTTGCTTGGTTCAGGGAAAAGTTTGCAGTTTGATCATAGACGGTGGAAGTTGCGCTAATGTGGCAAGCAGTATCATGGTTAAGAAGCTGAGTTTGCAAGCCACCCCTCACCCCAGCCCGTATAAGCTACACTGGTTGAATGACAAAGGAGAAATGAAGGTCACTGAACAAGTCTTAGTTCCACTGGCCATAGGAGAGTATAAAGATGAGATACTTTGTGATGTGCTACCTATGGAAGCAAGTCATATCCTGCTAGGGAGGCCGTGGTAATCTGACCGCCGGGTGATACGTGATGGATTCTCCAACCGGCACTCTTTTGAGTTTAAGGGAAAGAAGAACACTTTGATACCCATGACTCCTCAAGAAGTCTACAACGATCAGAAACACGCCTTGAGGTCAGCCAAACATTTAAACTTCTTTGCTAAAGCTGGACAGATTAAGAAAGCTTTATATTCCGAAACACCTATGCTATTATTTGTTTATAAAGAAACATTAACCACCATGGCTGATCTCACACCGGTGTATCCGAGTGAAATGCAAGCTCTTTTGCAGAACTATGAAGATGTCTTTCCAGAAGAGACACCAACGGGACTACCTCCTATCCAGGGTATAGAACACCAAATAGACTTCATGCCCGGGGCATCATTGCCAAACCGTCCCGCCTACCGTACCAACCCCGTGGAGACCAAAGAACTACAGAAGCAGGTGGATGAACTGATGGCCAAAGGACATATCCGTGAAAGCATGAGCCCTTATGCAGTACCAGTCCTCCTTGTTCCAAAGAAAGACGGTAGCTGGAGGATGTGTGTTGACTGCCGTGCAATCAACAATATCACGGTGAAGTATCGCCATCCCATTCCTAGGCTAGATGACATGTTAGATGAATTGCATGGTTCTAATATTTTCTCCAAAATTGATTAAAAGAGTGGTTACCACCAGATCAGAATGAAAGAGGGGGATGAATGGAAAACCGCATTCAAAACCAAACATGGTTTATATGAATGGCTGGTATGCCATTCGGATTGACTAATGCCCCTAGCACTTTTATGCGTTTAATGAATCATGTTCTTAGGGCGTATATAGGCATCTTTGTGGTGGTTTATTTTGATGACATCCTTGTTTATAGCAAAGGTCTAGAAGAGCATGTGGAACACATTAGACTTTGATAGGGCTCAGGTTTTACCCAAATAAAACTACTGCAAGTGCACAGCAAAAGCAGTTGTAGTACAAGGGGTATCAAAATCCCAAGAGAGTAATGCAGACTACACTATCGAATATAGATTCGGATTAAGCTAAGCAAAATATGATGTATATAATGTGAATGAATGAATAAAAGTAAGCAAATGATTGTGTGATATGATCTAAGTTCAAGAAGACTAAAAGCGCTAAGTCAGGGTAATTCGCAGGTTTGAATCCAAGAATGTATGATGCAGGAAATCAGGAATGATTAAGAACCGTTTTAAACATGAATCTCTAATGCATAACTAATCAATTCTCATTGTAAAACTTATCTATGCCTAAATCACAGAGTTTCAAATCTCTTTGCAAATCCTAACAACCTAAGCATGCAGGAATGATCAGATTCAATTGTTTACAAAACTCCTAAGCCAAATCTCTTTGCACTAAGTTGCTTTGCTCATCAAATACTAGTTCAGGTTATGAATAATGCTCTCACATATATTTAACAACCTATAATTTTCGGATTCCTAGATGATGTGTCTCAGAAATTCGATTTTAAAGCAAGCAGAGATGAAAACCATAAGATATTCCTAACAGATAGCGATTCTACACTCTTTTCATCAACCTTTGAAAAACCCTAACTTAACTAGCAGATTACTCAGACATGATTATGAGATCACAAAACATAACTGAATAAAATTGCATTAAGAGAAAGAGTAAGAAATAAAGGGGGTTCGAAATCTTCTCAAAAGAGTACAGGATTTGTCTCTCCAAAAAGCTCTGAATAAATCTCTCTCTAAGCTCTCTGAATTCTCAAAAACTAAGATTCTCGCCAACAATGGCTGAAAAACCTAATAAATAGAAGCTAAACACGATCTGGGGTCTTCATGTAAATAAAGGAAACTTCTAGACCAATTCTGCAAATCTTCTTGATACTTTTAATAAAACAGCCACGCTCATTCCTTAGTGGGTGACGAGCATCACCAAAGGTGGTGACGAGCGTCACCATATGCGATACTTTTCTGCTTCGAGCTTGGTACTTCGTGGCTTCCATTCAGAATGCTCCAAAAGGTTCCAAAATCTCCAATTATGCT